GGGGGGGGCGGCAAAGGCATCAAGCAGGGAGCGTCATGTCATATATTATTTTCATGCAAAGTACGCGATGGAACTATTTTCACAGCCGATTTAAATATCTGAGCTCTTCCATGGCATGTGAAAATTAATTTTAATATTTTTGTCCATTTGTACATTTGGGGGGAGGCTCATTTCTTTTTGTAAACGGGTGCCGCTAACCAAGTTCTCAAGAGGCTTTTTGTTTTTTTTATAAATGAATATTTTAAGCTCAGCTGCTGCTTTTCAGAACAGGAATAATTTGTCTGCCGACCATCGATCCAACAAATCAATAAATGAAATCTGATACGTATAAAGAATCCGTGGGGGAACTGCTTTAAAAATATTATACAAATATAACAACTCTGTAGTAGATTAAACAAAAATGCAAAGCTCGCCTGAGCAGCTGCATGGCAGCCTTCATGTTTCACACACAGGCGCGCGCGCACGCGCGCAAATTCTCACGCAAGCACGTACACACGCCCTGTGTGTACGCGTGGAATAATCAGGAATAACGGGGCCAGGAAATGTCACAGCACATTTGCCTCTTGTGGGAAAGAGTGCACTCAAATGGATAAAGAAAAGCGATAAATGTGCACCTCCAGCGCGCCAATTAGTGTCCGAGTTTAGATGACAAGTCCTGTATTTCTAACCGTCACATCCACGAACGCACGCGATGAACTATGTGTACACATATGCGTGACTTTGGGTGTCAGATGTATTTATTTAAAAAATAAAATAAGACAAAACAAACGCCAAGAGTACCGTAGATGTAAAATCCAACACCAACACGCGCACTGGAGCAAAAATTGAGTCGCAAGTCGCGCGTGTCCTGGGATCAGCCACAACCGGGTGACCGTTACACCCCTCAGTCGGCCTCTGCACTCCCCAACAGGACGGATTCGTCCCAGCCAGGAGGCCCGTCGTCACCCGACACAACTTTCCAACATCCTCAAGTTTGCTCGTCGCTCGCTCAACAACACACCCCGAAAGACACACACGCACACGAGACTGCAAACACGCTTCGTGTTTGTCGCCGAGTAACGGTCCGGACTGGAGTGCTCAGCAGGCTGGGACTTGATCAGCAGGGCAAGCTCCGGCGGACGGTCTCTTACCGTTTTTCCGTCTCGGGTTGGCCTGTTTTCGCCGCTTGCACCGGGGCCCATCCGCCATCATCTCCTGCCTCATTTAGAAGTGTGCGTGTGGGCTCAGACGGCAGCTCGCATGGACCCCAACGCGTGGATTCAGCTTGTCGTCTGACTCTGACGGGACACACACACCAGCACGCACACAGACAAGAACCACGGCGCCGTTAGCCAAGACATCCGCACAAACTAACTTTGGTGTACACAATGACAAAATAATAATGCCAATAAAAACAAATGCTCTGGATAATTTTGAAATCATCGTGACAGCAAGTGATGATAAATTAACAGTAGACGCAAATCTTTACCTTTGTGCTTAAACCCTCCAATAAATTCATTTGATTGTGAAAAGTGAGTCAGTTTTGTTTTATTTATTTTAGTTGTGGCTGTTAAAAGTAACGGCGAGTTGGTGTTGGGGCTTCAAACTCGACAATGAGGAGCAAAAGCAACTTCTTAAATCTCATTTTAGGCCATTTTTAAAAACTGAGCTCCACGGGCGTGCACACACGTACACGATTCTCAGCCATGCAGGAAAAGTATAACGGAACTTTGAACAAATTGCTGCCGCTGAATTATTGGGGCGCACACTTGCTTTCCGAAATTCCAGATCAATTAGAATCACGCAAGTGAAAATGTGCAAAAGAAAACGTGGTTGCGGACGCGCTGAATGTGTGAATTGCGCACGAACAAATGCTGAAAGATTGTTGCGGGAGCAGCTGATCAAATATGTGCGGATAAGTTGAAAACGACAAGCGGTCGTGTCACTTGTTTTGCAGTTTGGCACGAGTGGACAGACACCAAGTGGACCGACCGGGCGGACCAGCGTCGTCTGGTCGTCTCGGAGCACAGCGGGGCTGCGCCGAACAAAACGCCGGGCAAAGAGCGCCTGGTACAGGCTACGAGGAGACTCCACTGGCCGCCTCTGCGCATGCATGGATTTTTTTTTTTTTTTCCTCCTCCAAACCAACTCATCCACCTGCGCAGGTAAGTTCCAAGTGAGGCGCGAGCGCGTAGAAGTGGGGAATGTCAGTTCGGAGTGCGAACAAAATAGGGAGAGTGCGAGGAACGTACCTGCTTGTTGTGAGGGGAACAAACAGTGGTGTTGGTCCGATGACACCGGAGCGCGGTGGTGAGCGGATTCCGGTCCAGCGGTGATAATAAAGCCTTAGAAATAAAGCCTGCTAGTGGTTGGGAGGAGGGAGGGAGCGCTCGTCCTGCTCGGGCAGGTTTACAACTGATGTCTTACACCCACTCCAGGAAACAAACCTGGGTCGGGACTGACGTGTTCCGCCTCTTCTAATGACATTTTTTTCTTTCCACCTCCTTTTCTTTGCAGTGCACACGGAGGAGAAGCCCCCTGAAACGCACGCCACCTATCTTCACGGGAGGGGATAATTGAGGGGAGCCAAACGTGAGCATCTTCTGGCTTCAACTTATTTATTTATTTTTTTTATTTCCTCCACCCCAACCGCCCCCCCCCACCCGACACGCTCTTGTTGCCCCCTCCTGCTCTTCTCGCTTTCTCCATCCTCCTCTTTTGCACAGTGAAACCAACTATGTCCACGCGGAGTTTGTGTGTGTGTGCAACGCGTGTGAGCGTGTGTGCGCGGGGAGAAACTTGAAGATCGTCCACGGCGGCCGCAGTTGCACGTAAGGATTTGTATTTCCAAATTTGTATTTACACTTGGTATTTTGGGCATAACTGTGCGTGTTCTAAGTCCGCTTCATTGACCGCAAACTGTTGGATGATCGCCAAAATGTGCACTTATTCATTGGAAGATGAATTTATCTGTAAAATGGAAGCGTAGCGATTAGTGCGCTTATTTGTTGAATTTAGCACCAACACATGCGCGGTTTTGTTGTGAGTGAATAATTATGTTTAAGGGAAATTGCTGACGAAAAGTAAAACCGTTTCACTCTCAATTTTGTATTTGTGATCTTCGCTTATTACAAAAAAATGTGATTTTAATAACAATATTTTGGGTATACGTATTTAATAGTGTGTGTCAGATACCTTACAATTGTAGCTTGTAATTTTATTATTTTTACCTGAGAGACTTGAACATCCTCGTACTGCATGCAATAACTTATGTGTAAATGTAACATGGGCTAAATCATTTGCATTGAACTCATTAGCACATTTTAGCGGTAGATAATAAATAATAAATATCAAGCAAAAATATAATTTTATGATTTGGCGCTAAAATCACGAACTTTATTCCAACAGTGGCACATACAGCTATTTTAGAAGAGCTCTGTGGCACTAAAAGATAGAAGGGGGAAAAAAGAGCGGAGAAAAGCATAAAGTGACATAAAGAGACGTAAAGTGTCCGCGGAACTGCACGAGTCCCTGCAGGAATATTATGCGAATATCATCGACATTTTCGAGCTTTATTAGAGTGATTCTCGCTTCTGGAGGCCACTTAAGAGGATGAACCCCACATTTATTAAAGAAGTCAACCATCTCATAGGCGCACATCCCTCTCTCTCTCTCTCTCTCTCTCTCTCTCTCTCTCTCTCTCTCTCTCTCTCTCTCTCTCTCTCTCTCTCTCTCTCTCTCTCTGTCTCTCTCTCTCGCTCTCTGGACAGCTCGCGCGCGCACACCCTCATCCATAGACAGAGAAAGAGAGAGACAGAGAGAAGGGAGGGAGCAAGTCCCGCCCATGCAGCGAGTTGATTGGCTATGCAAATAAAGGGTTATTTTGTGTCCCTTCCTTTTGCAGGTCGCTACTGGATGGCTAATTAAATCATCAATCAGCTCCCCCACCTCTTCGTTTTTGCATCAACGAAAACTCAGAGGCATGATTACTGTTACACTTATACAGGGAGGAAATGTATAATTAAGCTTCAGTCTTAAAAATGGCATTATTATTATTATTATTATTATTATAATTATTATTATTATTATTATTGTGTTGTATTACTGACGTTTTACCGTGAGAATTCAGGTAAGTTGTATTTCAGTCAACTTTTCTCGTGTGAAGGAAGTGACGTGAGGCGGCTTTGCCTCTCTCCTTTCCCGTGTAGAAAGTGAATCAGGTCCTGGGTGAATGATTGCCACGCGCAATTTGTTGTTGGGGTATTTGCATGTAAACGAAGCGGCGCGGTTGTCGCACTTTATAAGGCGCGCGAGCGCGCGCACACTTGAACACATCGCGGCCAAAGATCCATTCATCCACGCGGGCCTGAAGTGGTACCTCTCGCCTTTCTCCACGCACGCAGCCTCTTGTGCGTGGGGCCGCATATTCAGAGTGTAAACGGATTAAATGTGTGTGACCTTTCCGGGGAGGGGGGGTGGGGGTTAATGCATATATGTTGTTAATTGAGGGCGGGGGGACGTTACTGTTTTAATGTTTATTCTGCATGTAAATTTGATAATAAAAGTGTGATTACAAGATGAATTCTTTGTCTGCTTGTTTAATACATCATTGCAGCAAAGAAATCTGACGGGCCTTATTTTGTCAATTTGAATCAATATATGCCCTATTCGCTGGGATTTTTAATGTGCCTGCAGGCAGAAAACTAAGAATAAAATGCTCATTTTGTGTGTGTGTGTGTGTGTGTGTGAATTCTTTGTCTGCTTGTTTAATACATCATTGCAGCAAAGAAATCTGACGGGCCTTATTTTGTCAATTTGAATCAATATATGCCCTATTCGCTGGGATTTTTAATGTGCCTGCAGGCAGAAAACTAAGAATAAAATGCTCATTTTGTGTGTGTGTGTGTGTGTGTGTGTGTGTGTGTGTGTGTGTGTGTGTGTCAGACGCAGACACACAATTTTTTTGGCCCAAAAAGAGGAGCCGTTGTTCAAATTGAACTCGCAGCACAAGATGACAGCAAGGAATCCTGAATTTCAAGAAGGTCGTGGGTCAAAAATGTACAACAAGTGCTCAAAATAAAACACGGATTCATGCTTTAGTCCAGATGTATTTTTTTATCTTGTCAAAGCCGCACTCAACTGAGCAAAATGTACAAATATGAGTGTGTGATGCTGGCTGATTCTCTTATGAATAAATTCATGCAAGGGTTTGTGTTGCTGTATGCGCTGTGGCTGCACGCCAAATGAAGACGCTGCAGCAGCCACAGCCTCAAGACAGGGCTCAGCTACCACTCATCTAGGCCCAAATTAGATATGAGGGAGTCACGCAAGAATTTCATAAAATAAAGGACCACAATGGGGATTCTACCTCTGGATAACAGTTCTTATTATTATTGTGGAGGGTGGTGGTCAAAATCATGAAACTCGTGAGCCATGTTTCGGTTACAGCAGTGATTGGTGACATTTTAGTTCGGTGGTGCGCCGTGAAATTTTTTTCTAAAGGAAAATATGTGCCTCGGCTCAATAAAAGCCGCGTGGGAAACACTTTTTTTACACTCAGACAATGCTATGTGGACCAATGCCTCTTCAAGCACTGATGGTGTCTCTCGAAAAGGAAAGCAGTGAGAGTTTGACCTGGGACATGTTGATTGACCTCCACAGCTCCTGAAGGCCGCATCTCCTTTTTTGACAAGAACCGTGGCCGGCACAATGGGCGTTTGAATGTACCACAGCACGGCTCCAGCATCCCGTCTCTCATCTCCCCACTTGTGCTTGTTTGCGTCTCTTCCAGCTTTGCAACATCAAACTGAGCATCTCTCGTCTGACTTGGGCTCTGATAGCTGCCAACGCCACGGCGCAGAGATTGACAGACAATTACAGAGCGGGAGGCGACGGCCGGGGCGTGTGATGTGTAAGGGCTCCTCCAACATGTAAAATGAAGAGTTTACATTTGTTTCTGATCTCTCTCGCTCAGACAAGAAGGAGAACAAGCTAGCCGAGGCACAAACAAATGTTTGCACTGAGAGCTATTTTTTTTGCATCTCCTCAGCTATCCCCCCCCCCCACACACACACACACAAGCACACACACACACAATCAAACATTCCCACGCGGACAAAATCAGAAACAAACAGCTGCATGTGAAATGAAGCTGCTGATGCTGGATTGAGTCAATAAAGAATTTAAGACAATCGTGCACTCTGCGGACCTTCAATGACAACTTGACTTCACTTTATTAGGGACACTTTGCTGCTCACCATCACATCAGCAGTTATGTCCAACGAATGTTGCAAAGAATTAATTTGATGTTTTGTGCTTGACAAAAAAAAGAGGCTTCTGATTCCGGGGTCTGATAGATCTCGCAAGGAAACTTTTTACTTGCAAAGAGGGAAAAAAAAAAGCACAACTTTATCGCTTGCCCCAATGAATAATTGACAGTGTCTCCGCTGAATAATTAATCAAACATTTGAATAATTGTTGTAGCTCTCATCTCAACATTCATTTGCATATTGCCATGCTCTTAATACGAGTGCACATCCTCTCAGGACACAAAGACACCATGAAAGGAACAAATGTACATTTGCAGGAAACCTTGTCCCACATTTCCACTCGGCGGCCGCAAAAAGATGTTCAGCCAGGATAAGAAATAAGATCGGGCCGGTGCTTCAGAGTGAGACATGTTGCATTCTATATATTCCGCAGAATTAATCTTAATATCCCTCAGGGAGCGACTGGGTCTAAGACATTTGCGAAACTAGAATAGCACTCAGTGGATCACATATCTCAACCAAGGCTGAACAAACCTAATTTGGATCACGTCTATTGCAAAAGAATGTTTGCAACACAAACAAGGAATGTGCATAAAGGCATAAAGAGATCAGGCATTAAACATTAAAATACAGCACCAGTGGAAAAAAAACAGACAATAATACAAGTGTGAGAATAATAACAACAGCCATAGAAAGAAAACTGCAACAAACCACTGCGTGCATATACTGTGCATCACTTTTGAATGAAAGAAGATATTTGGGGGAGTCTTTGTTGGCAGTTGTGAATACACCAGACAGTCAACAACAAAATGTTGTCATCTATTTTCTTTTAACCCTAACAAAACAAAACAAAACAAAAAATAACATTCTGCGCCTTTATCCAGATCTGAAAAAAAACCACCCTCAAAGGGGAAGTCAAGTCAAAACTTTTCTTTACAATATGTTATATGTGGCCTCACTATTCTAAACATGGCCATTTTGCTCTGTACTGCCAATTGTTGTTGACTGAAAATGAAATCACAGTGCTTACTGTACGTGCTCAGCTTGCGAACGTCGCACGACCAAACCCGGTGAGCCATGATTGTTTGTTACCTGAGCCCTGAGCAACCGTGCTGTCATTTTCAGTCGACAGCAAGTGGCAAAATGGCCGCCGCTTGAGAAAGATACAAACGGCTGGATTTTGCTGCTTAATTCAAATTCCACCAACGCAATTTTGTTCAAAATGCAATGTTTAGACAAGTGGGGATCCACATAACATATTGGAAATAAAATGTTTGACTTGACTTCCCCTGTAATTAATCCTCAGGATAGAAATAAAGGGGGGAAAAAAAACAAACAAACAGCAATAACAACAATGAGGTGTAAAAATCAGGGTGGAGCTATAAAATGATAATCTGCCCCCAGCAGAGGCATGCATACATTCAGACAAACAAATTTGTGAACATATTGTCTGTCTTAATTTAAATGACTAACTACTGGCAGGTTGGATCATAAATATTCACATTTACATTTTCATTTGAATCTTCAGTGTTGCATAGCAAAGTACTGTTAGCAAAAAGGGCCGAAACGTGTGTGTGTGTGTGTGTGTGTGTGTGTGTGTGTCTGTGTGTGTGTGTGTGTGTGTGTGCATGTGTGTGTGTGCATGTGTGCATGTGTGTGTGCATGCAAACACTCTGCAGAAAAGTCAACTTTCGACTTGTGACCTCTCCGACAAGCCTCCAAAGTCTTGCGCATTTAGACATTTTTGTATTCTTTTCTTCTTTTTTTTTCCCCACCAAATACATTTTTCTCACTCGCCTCATCCGCCGCTAAAGTTACCCGGCTTGTGGGAAAGTCACGGTTGGCTGGACGCTCGTTTGTTATCCTGACACTCAAAGGATTTGGAGAGATGTTGATGGAAGTGTCATGAGCGCTTCCTGTTCGAGCGAGCGAGGAGAGGATGTGCAGTGTGCAGCGTGCACGTGGCCGAGGTGCGTCCGTGACGCCTCTTTTGATGGCGGCCTTGTTGTCGCAGGCTGAGCTGACTGAAGAGATTGTTGGCCCGCAATTGACTGTGACAATTAGGGTGCCATCAGCGTCCTGAGTGGCGCTCTTAAAGCTAATTTACATGTCACTTTGTTCTAAAAAAGAGAAAAATATGCCGCTCGCTCCCTCCAACCTTTAGCGGCTGTCTCCAATCCATCCCAGATCGCCTTGTAAACTGTCATTTGTACACCGCTCAGGGGAACCTGGCCGACGAGAGGCGGCCGCCATTTCCATGTGAAAAGAGGCAATCACCAGGGCACTGCTGAGCCTATTGTTGGCGGCAAAGGGTGGGGGGGAGGGCGTAAATTTACAGGCAGGGAAGTTAACCTTCTGGCGAGGTGCGTTTCACACCCATTAGGAGCGCGTGTCTGTCTGGTGTTTGCCGATTTTCTGCTCT